TATCTTCGTATAGTACTTGCATCCCTGCACTCTATCCAATAGGTCGTCTATGCGGGGTARAGGCTCTGCGTTTTTCACCGTGATGGCATTGAGGCCCCTATAATCAATGCACATCCTCAAAGTACCCCCCTTCTTTGGTACGAATAGCACTGGTGATCCGTAAGGGGAAGTACTAGGCCAAATCCATCCCTTCTCTGTCAGCTTCTTGAGTTGCTTCCGAAGTTCATCTAACTCGGCAGGGGCCATTCTATAGATCCTTCCCTTTGGGGTCTTACTCCCTGGAATGATTTTTATAGCGTGGACGACGTCCCTATCAACAACTCATGTGGGCTCCTCGAACAGATCAGGGAACTTAGCAACGACACGTTCTATCTCCGGGGGTGTTTTAACGGCCTCCCCCTTCTCAGAGACATAAAGAAAGGTACATGCCTTCCTCTTGGTTTTGCTTATAATAATTGTAGAACGCAGATGCGCACAAGCAGCCATAGGTATCTATAATACTAATGGCCTTGAACTTAGTCATTCTGACAGTTCGGCCATCGGGCAACTTCTGTTTGAGCACCTTCTTATCCCAGTCAAACTGGGGCTTAGCAATATCGAGGTAGTACATGCCTAGCAACATGTCAAATGGCAAGTCGTTACTAACCAAGAACGAGATCTTATGGTTAAGCTCACCTCCTCCATAAGAGAAGGTACAGACTACGTCCTTGAGGTAGTCTGTGACAATCATGCGCTCTTTGTTGGCCAAAGTAGATGCTACTGGTCTACTAAGGTGCCGTACCCGGTCCTGTAGGTGCAACCTTTCCAAACAGTCGCGACTTATGTAATTTCGTGTGGAGCCTGTGTCTATGAAGGCACCACATTTGCGGCCTCCGACATCCACTTCCACAACGAAATGTTCCCCTCTAGGACCCTTCTTTAGCACCACCCAAGACTCGCGAGGATCCTTGTTTGACCATTCGCCTTCTAAGTCTTCTAAGGCCTCAGACACATCTAACGTACAGAGCATAGTTTGGTCTAGATACGTATGCGGGGTAGCTAAGGAGTCATTAGCTTCGACCTTGTCATGAAGTGAGGAGGGTATCATTCCCACTTCATCTTGAGTAGAAGCCGCTATTACTTCCACTAGCCCTACGCGTTTCCCGAGCTAGATGCCTGGGAGTAAGTTGCCCCAACCTTTGGTGCAACCTTTTGCGAAACATTCACGTGCTGACACTTCCACTGCGTGTGTCCGTATTCACCGCAGTTGATGCAAGCGCCACGCGATCGGCGGTCACACCACACGTCCTGGTCAAGACGTGCTTTTGCCCACTCAGCCTGTTTGGTCTGATTGGAGGCGGCCTTTCCTTGACTCCTAGGTTGGCCCTTACCTCGGCCACCTGCCTTAGTCTTTACTACCGCGGCGAGGGTGCTACCCTTAGCTACCTCCTCACCGTCACACTCTGAATAGTCCACCAGGTCAGAGAGCTCGTCGATTTCAGTTTGGGTCCCATCTGACTCAACCATCATCAACTTCGCCCCCTTCTTCTTCCACTCCTGGGGACTCTTCTTCTTCTTTGAGTCGTTCCTTGAGGTGGGTTGAACATTGTCTAGTGTTGCCTCTAAGTCTAAGGCCTTCCTAGACAATGTCTCAAACGAGTGGTACTCGGTGCGTGCCTCACTGGCCAGTAAGTTCCTGATGTTCTCTGGAAGACATCTAACAAAAGTTGTTAACAGGAACTGGTCATTGTAGTTGATGCCCGGGACAAGGATCAGGCCCTCCACGGTAGTCGTAAGCTCCCTAACTGACCTGAACTTGCGTTGGTCAAGTTTGTTAATGGCATCAGTGGCCCTTTGAGCCTCCTGTGGGTTATGCCATCGAGCTTCTACCATCTCCATGAATTGGTCTAAGAGCGTCCAAGATCTGGTTTAAAGTGTTCTGCATGAAGTCCAACCTGCTGTCCACATGCGCATGTAGTGACAGCATGTTGTTCCTCAACACTTTCATGGGCTCTTTCATTCTTGAATCGTCCAAGCCCTCCAACTCAGCCTTGTCAGTCTCTAGAGTATTTAGCCTGGCTGTTCTATTTTTGATCTCCTTTTCTCTGTCGGTATCCTGTTTCAGTTCCCTCTCTAATCTTTCACGGATTCTTTCGACATGTTGAAGCTCCCTGAGCTCGCTCTCGCGAGGAGTCAACAGGCTGAACTGCACGCCCGTCATTTGACTTGTAGACGGCCTAGACCCTAGTAAAGTGGAGATATTCGGGGACCCCGTTGGCATTCCCAACTGGGTTCCTGACGAGGACGCAACCGTAGTTGCAGCAGAGGTTGCTGCTGCGGTAGCCATTGCTGTTGCCGTGGCTGCTGCGGCAGCCTGCTCCCTAGCTGCAAGGTTTGCTGCTTCTCTCGATGCTGCGAGAGCACCGGCTCTACGTTCGGCACGAAGCCGTCTTTCTTCTCCCTCGTCTAGAGTCCTGAACACGTACGGGATCCTTCTGGATCTTGCACGTGTAAGTCTACTATCGTCAACTCCCTCCTCGTCGACGTCTGGCCCGTTCATGAATTAGAAAAACATTGTCTGCACTAGAACTCCCTAATGGAATCCTACCCTCGCACGTGTCTGACCGACATCTAATTTTCTAATAATGGTTGTGTCCGGCAGTTCCCCTACTGTACCGATCAAGTGGCATGTCTACAACATTCACACAATTTGTCTACATAGTCTAAATGCACTTTGACTTGTTCACTTACATCAGCGTTAGTTAGAACTGACTATGGTAGCATACAACAGTCCTACATTAATCTGTTTGTGAGGTGTTAGCAGTCTGTCCACCAACTAATCAAAGGTACAAAAGACAATGTAGCAGATGTATGATTGATGGGTATGGTTGTGTATACAGTTGAGCACCAATTAGAACCTACCCTCCCCTCCATCCAACATACCGAACAGCATCATTGAGCGAGCAGTGTCTTCGTGTGTGAATCGGCCCATCCCTGTGCCCAAGTTGTCACCGAGCAAGCCATCCCAACCACTCTTATTTACCCTCGTACGGCGACGAGCCTTCCTGTCCATGTGATCTGGCTGATCAGGAGGGATTTATAGAGCGCCTCCATCTCTTCAGGAATTATTTAACGTCGCAGTCAGGACGACGATCACAGCCAGAATCACAATGAACTCCCAACCAGAAATGTTTGTAGACGGTCTGGTAAGCGTCTGTCATGGGCTGGCACACCCGGAGGAACTTCTATCAACGCAGCAAGTGCCAAACAGGACAGCAGCCATCGCATGCGTGCACTACTCCCTACATTAATCTGTTTGTGAGGTGTTAGCAGTCTGTCCACCAACTAATCAACGCAGCAAACCCGGAGGAACTTCTATCAACGCAGCAAGTGCCAAACAGGACAGCAGCCATCGCATGCGTGCACTACTCCCTGTGGGTTGGCATGGTGACCGTGACCCAAGTGCTTCGACCAGGGCCCTTCAGAGGCACCGCCCTTTCTCCTTCTAGTATGCTTCCGGGAAGATTGTCGTCTCTCAAGGTAGCGCGTTCACGACACCTCACCAAAAGAGAGGACTCTCAAGTTGGACTCACTTCCTCACGGTAAGAAGAGATTGAGAGAGTAGATAAGGTAAGGGAACAACGTACCTGGAGATAGTTGCCCCCAACCACAGATTTCTCACCAATTGAGCCGATGTTGCATTTGATGAGCGGTCATGACCTCGGTACCACCCACAACGCAATGCAGTGCCACCTTAGTCCAATGCCACATCAGCATGCTCTCATCATCAATCAAACATTCTGCCTGTCATCACGGCTAATATGTCGTCTGTAGCCTTCCGGTGCACCCCTCTCTACCCAGGGCGTGCACCAATAGTGGCCTGACGTCACAAGTACCCACTGCGAAGAAGCATCATCAACGCACCAAGTCTGTATAACGCCAGCGTGCCAAAGGTAAGTGGCGATCAAACCATGCTCTGATACCAAATTGCAAGGAACATGAGTATGGACGAAGCGCAGAAATCCGGAATGCAAAATCACACTGAAGTCCAAGTATTCAAAGCCAAAGCAGATAGCACATGGAACCGAGTAACCATCCCATTGAGAATGATACAGAAGAATCGTGAGTCAATGTCCATGCCCACCAGGGCAACACCAACARCATAACCCAAATGTAGCTCTCTCTTGTGAATGGCGCCAGGCGCCCTATCTACTCTACAGCCTATCCTACAACTACAGCAATGAACAGCAACCAGACAACTTGACTACCAGCGAGTGATGATGTCAACACCAATGCAGACCTCCACCATCACCAGGTACGTGTCATCTTCCCCACACTCTCCCTTGTTACCCACACAGTGCCCTTCACCTCCGAAGTACCACCTTCGCCCTCACCTCCCCTGCACCCTCTTGCGGCCCGGCTATGGCCGCCAGTGCTCCGCAAGCAGGCCGCGCCCTACTGCCTAGCGCTGCCCTGCTTCTTCTTAGCGCAGCACTGCTCTGCATTAGCGCAGCACCCTTGCATCTGCGCAGCGTGCCCGCATATGCCAGCATTGGCCAAGATCCCCGCTGCCTCGCCCTGCTTGCCTATATGCCAGTGCAGTGTGTGGGCGGCCTCCCTTCAGCCTGTGTCCGGGGCCCAGAGGCTGAAGCCAACTCGATACAGTTGGGCCCCGGGGTAAGGCAGTTGCGCCTCCTTCATCAAGGCCTGCGGCCAGATTCAGACAGTGGGCCGATTTCCCCTTTGGCATTTTCGGCCTCTCTTTCCAGCATGCATTGTCGGCCTCACGTTCAGATGCCCAGGGCCTAACCATCTCAGAGGCCCTGGGCTTTCAGCATTTGCTGAAATCCGAGACTCGGTGCACTCCAACCAACTGGCGTGCTGCAACTGTATGAACCCCACTTCGTGAAATGTTGCACAGAGGGCTCTTGTCGATTTGCTGGCCCGCCTTCACTTAGGGCGGGCACTAGGCTTGCTGGGGCCTTAGCCCAGAACATGTACATCATGGCAAGGCCCCTACTTGAGGGCTCAATCCTCACATATTCATATATATATATTGTTCCGAATGCCCCCCCGCCCAAAGTTCTCAGACATCATCCGAATACCCAGAAACCAAGGGGTTGTCCAACAGCCCACACTATCTGATCCCTACCAAGCTCTTCCAGGCCTCCCACCCCGAACCTGCTAGATGACAGGGCAACACGACTTCCCCCAGCTCGGGCGTGCCATCGCCGTCTCCACAGCAAAACCCCAGTTATCCCTTGGAATACGCGCACGCCTGAATGCGCACCCACCCCAAAGCATCATCAGATCTCTCTACCAGGCCTCGTGCCAACACCAAGCCGCCAGGTTACAGGGCGACGCCCTAGCACTGGCCAATGTCGTTCCCGACAACTTCTCGCATTGGACAACCACAGATATCTGACCATAACAGCGTCGGACCAGTCTTGACTGAGCTGCTAGAAGCCCTCAGAACCCAAAAGTACTCTTAGATCCGCGGACAGCACAGTTCAGAAAGGCTGAGAATAGTGTACTCTGTATTATGTAACTGTTACGCAATGTCAAGTGAGGCTATACTTTTGCAGTATCCAAAGTTTAATACGTCAGCTTTCAAAACAAAAAACTGAATTGGAATTAATCGCTGGAGTAAAAGGATTTGAACCTTTGCATGTCGGTATCAAAAACCGATGCCTTCTCACTTGGCTATGCTCCAATGAGATAACGCGACGGACCAACGGCCTCGATGTCTTAGCTAACCCACTCAGAGATCCACAGAGATTCTTCGAATGCTCAAAGCCCCGAGTGGTTCCGAACAAACCAATCCAAAGTCCTCCGGCACTGTCTTATTCTCCGGCGGGCTCATCCAGGCCTCACAACCCCCAACCTGCCAGGGTACAGGGGGCATCACGACTCGCTCCAGCTCCGGCCAGCGTCGACCCGGCAGCAAACCCCGGTTGTCGTCCCTTAGGATGCCCACCCCCCACCCCAAAGCATCCCCTCCCAAAGCATCCCCAGATCGCTCTACCAGGCCTCACGGCCCCGCCCATTGAGCCTGTTACAGCACAGCACCCCAGCATCGGCCAGCGTCGTTCTGCATCGCGGACACACTCCCTCAGGTCACTGAACAACAGTATCAGAACGGCCTCCGATAAGCTCTTAGAAGCCCCCGGAATCCGAGAGTATACTTTAAAACTGCTGCAGACCGCAAAAGAGAGATTATGAGAAACAACTACCTTCTTCCCCTGAACATAACGGATATGCGTTGTAAACGAATACAACGCATAGGGTGCGTTGTATTTGAATAAAACGCACATGCGTTCTATTCGAGTAGCGCATTTTTTTTTTGAATAGAACACATGTGCGTTCTTTTTTATTTTTTTGAATTTTTTTTTTGATTATTTTTGGAAAACTTGAATACAACGCATATGCGTTATTTTCGGGGGAAGAAGGTAGGAAACGACTGAGATTATTCAGGGGAGATTAAGAAGAATGAATACTCATCCTTTGAGGAGGGAAAAGTTGGAAAACTTTTAACTTAAAGACCTTCAGACAACCCCCAAGACTGTATCTGAGCAAAATTGTCGTCTCCACCCGAATAAAACGAGCGGTCTTCAATCTTGTCAGTGGGACGCTGGACCCGGTTTTTCCAGCAGGTGTTGCTCCCCACCAATAGATTGGAGCCATCTATAAACTGGGGCTTGCTATTGGAGGATGCTCGTATCACCTCCAATAGCAGGTTGCCACAGATGTTTCGGTTAAAAAAAAAAAAAAAAAAAAAAAAAAAAAAACGAGCGGTCATTATTGCTGCATGTGGTCTGAAAGTTGACCGTAATACACCTATAGTGACTGGGCGTTCTACCATTGGTGTTCCGCCAGCGGCTGCACGGACATCTTCAGGCCTCAACGTTGGGATTTCAGGCAACGGTTCGTCAATGGTTACTGTTAGAGGACGGCCGTCGTCGGGGTTCGTCTTCAATTGGGGATCCGTCGTCGCGGTGCTTCCTGCCAGCTTTGTAGGGGTTCGACAGTCGGGAAAATTGAATATTTTTCCCGATCCCCCTCCCGCATCCCCACTCATGTCGGCCAGGTGTGTCGTATCCTGTCCTCTACCGTTTGCTCCCATCATCGTCGCCATTTAGTCGTGGAGTTACAGCCCTGTCGTACGTGTTGTTGATGGCCGACCTCTAATCAAGGCTGCCACTGCTGCTCCTAGTCGCTATTTTGCTTGTCGTGGTCCTCCTTTTCCGCATGCGCATCCTCGGCTTCTCCATCGCTCCCTCGCATTGCCTCCGTCGTGTTGTTGCATTGCTTGAGATCCTCCCACGCAACCCCCATCCTCCTTTTCATCCACCACCTCGGCGTCACTCGTGGACAAACACCACAACCCACGGCGCAGCAAACCTGAACTACAGCCTCGATGATGGCCACGGTATCCAGCCCTTCGACTGGGCCTTGATGAAGTGTCTTCCTCCTCCGCGAGCCGATCTGCGCTCTCATTCTCACTAATGTCGTCTCTTGCTGACAATGAAAAAGCACGGCCGTCACAACTGTCTTCTCGATCATGGTCAACTTTGCACGTCTGTTGTCGCCGCCACCCTCCATCAGCACGTGTTGCAATGCTCGTCAACTACGAAAATACAACAACTGACAAACTCGCCATGACCACAGTAACCTCAGCGCGAAGCCGCCGCCGACGTTCCCCGCATGTGCTGGACTCCACACATACGCACGGCGGCAGGAGGCGGCGATGGCGATGGACCTTTGCGGGCCGCTCAAATATTCGTGACGATTTACGACAACTTCACTACGCCGCTGCAAATGCCTGTTTCCACCGTCACCAGCATGGATGCCACTTTCCCCGCGTCACCGTCGCCACGTCCAGCACCCGATTCAAATTTTGATTTTCGAAATAAGATGTCCATTGCTTTTAAAGTTTTTTTTTTTTGTCCTGCCGTCAGCGCCTTTCAAATTTTCCTGCCTTCAGCAGCCGGACCACATCGTCGTGAGACGGACATCACCCAGTGGACCAGGGCAGGGCATTGCGCCCCCCCCCCCCCCGGCCAACTATAATATTATAAAAATAGCCGCGGGGGGCCAAAAGGAATCATCCTTGGGAAACCACGCCGAGGATAGGTGGAACAATGGCGGAAATTTCCTTCATAACCCCAAAGGAAACTTCCTTTGGCCCCAAGGACGCCACAAGGAGTGTCTAGAGGGCCCCTTTTCAGCAAGGCCGGGCCCGTGTACTGGCGGCTTAAGAAAACTTCATACGTGGCTCCGATCTTTTGGTAAAGGTGGGTGCAGCCGGTACTTCCTGGGACTTTTTCTTCTGCTTTTTCAAGATCAGAATCCCCTTTATCATTTTTGCGCAAACGCCAACAAATGCCCCAAACCTTTTGATTATGGTATGGTACTGTCAGATTTAAATGTAGGTATACCATATACTTCACATATTTGCTATTTCATCTTTAGGTGTCTATGAGTCTATGGTATTATAACAGCAGGTTGGTCTAGTAATTCCAAACATGCTTTTCTAGGAGCACTACGATCTGCGGCTCAAATGGTTTCTTATGAAGTTTCTATTGGTCTTCTTATTATAATTACTGCATTAATTTGCGTAGGTTCTAAGAAAAAAAAGTGTCACACGGAACTGTAGGATTTTGTTTTCTTTTTGTTTTTTTTCAGTTTCACGATCGCTGTTGTCACTTGTGCGAATGATCTGAGCCCCCAGGGGCCAAGTCCCCCGAATGTGGACATGCTTGTAGATAGGTGTGGTTGAGGAAACTCAACGCAATTTTCTGAAAGCGTCCACGAACACGTCCAGATTCAGGTGTCGAGGAAACTCAATGCTGCTAGTGGGACTTGGCTCCCAGGCTTCCTTCTCTTTTTTAAATTTAAAAACTCTCCAATGGCCCCAGGCTGCTACAGAATTACAGACAGTTTTGCAGGTTTCGGAACCCAGGCCGGGCCGTCGTCTGCATCGCTTTTAGTGTTTCGTATGTAGAAACACGTAATGTAAACAGTTTGGACATAGTATTGGGTTATAGTATTGTGGGTGGGTAAGAATTTGGTTTATAAAACTTTATATTGGTTTTGATGTTGGCATGTTTAGCCAAACTAGAGTTGTATTCATTGGGTGCGTGGTGGGAAACCCGTCTACGCAACAAAGGCTCTTTACAGTGTTTTGGACAGTGATGATGAGAGGGCAACCCTAATGCTTATTCTTCCTTCCCACCTCCTACAGGCTAGTTCTCGTTTCTAAGGTTTAGCCGTTTACTTTGCTCCTGGCGAGAAGCAACACTGCCGATTTAGGCATCTGATTATGCTTCGATTGTAGTTCAGTATCGATGAGCGGCGCGTCGTTGATCTGCTAGGTGGCACAGACTGAACTCTAGCACCAAGTAGGACGGTGCCTTGTCCCTAAATGGAATTAGGGATATTGGAAGATAAGGGTAGACCAGAGGCAGGAAGGGATGCTGGACCTGTTTTCCAGCAAGCGCCGTACCGGTAGGGCTATTGGTTTCATATCTTCCGGGTTGTTTGTGAGGAATTCCCGGCGTCCATTCATTTGTGATAAAAGCAAATGATTCTTCCAACAAAAAAAACAAAAAACAAAAAGTTCTGTGGCTTCTGCCATTCGTCCAGGATGCTACAATTCACACCAACAGGCCTAGCGCAGTTGGTACACCCATATTCGATAGATAGAATATTTTAATCATTTAATGTTATTTATAGATCACACATTTTAATTGTATTTAACATATCATATTTATCGTATATTGGATTTATATTATTTTATCACCTAATAAAATCAAGATAAATAAATTTATAAGTTAAATAGCAACTCTTGAAATACAAACCGGAGTCCGAATGGAAAAACATGAACAAAAATTATGAATCTAGACTCTAGAGTCTAGATGCTACTAAGGGGCTGGTCACTTCAGCGATGATATCCAAAAGGCCTTAACCCCTCCTTATAAGAAAAAGAAAGAAAAACAGTTAAAAAATTAAACGACAATTCTTCTCAATGAATATTCATTTTTTTCATTCATATTTGGTTCGCCGCTGCTTGCCTTTTAGAGAGCTGCGACAATTATCACATAATTACAGATCAGCTACGTGCATGCACCATCTAGACATTAGATGCTAAGGGCATGCTCACATTAGGACTTCGCAGGACGTATCTGACTGCAATTACGTCCAGATCTCAGTTCCGAAAGTCCCAAGTGTGAGTGTGCTCAAAAGCGAGTACATTTCATAACGAGGGCGTAAGCGATGCTCTGGAGTTGGATGAAGCGACCGCACCACTAAGTGTCACGACACACATTTGCAGTAGGCAGTTTGTGCTGTGTGCTCATCGGCTTGAAAAGCTTCAAATATTTTTCTTGACAAGATCTGGCCATAATTGCGGTCAGATTCACTCAGAAAAAAAAAAAAAAAAACTCTTTCTGTGAACATGCCACATCAAGAACAAAGGAGTTTTGGCCCTCATGTGTATTTGATTGAAATACTGTTTGGGCGAGCTGCAAAATCTTTGGAGCAGGGGACTGAACAAATTTCTATGAGGCTGGGGCCGGGTAGTGGCGGTTTAAACCACCAGTACACGGCGGCCACGGCCATACATCAGCTGTGGACGCCCCTCACCGCGAGTTTTGGAGACCCGAAATGCGACACCGGCCATTGATGAATTTTGTTGACAGCACGCAGACCCCAACTTTTTTCGTAGTAGGTGATGAACAATTTCTCCACAAAGGCAATTGGAGCATTTTTCAAAAAAAAAAATTATCCACAAGGCTGGGGCCATGCACTAGCCGCTTAACACCAGACGCCAGCCCGCCATCCATACAGCGCTAGAAAGCGCTGCTGAATTATGCAATGTGACTCTTCATCAGTCGACTACAAAGGAGAGAAAAAGTCTCACAAACAAGGCCAAAAAAAAAAGGATGAAACTTGGAAGGGCATGCATCGGCCGTATGCGGATTTACAAACGCGAACCGGAGCAAGAATCTGATGCAACCGCAGTCTAAACAATGGCAAAGACCTTGAAAAAAGTGCAAAAAGGAAAAACAAAAATAAACCACTCTTCTGCCAGCAGCAGACCTGAAAATGACACGCACACACACACACACACACACACACACACACACACACACACACACACACACACACACACACACA